ACCCATCCACCATGACTCTCTGGGTGCGACCCTCTAGCCAATTCGCCACCCACCGGACTGTGTAGTCATCCAAGTCACAGCCTCTTAACTTGTTCACCAGTATGGGGTGGGATACCGTATCGAAGGCCTTCCTGAAGTCTAAGTATACGACATCCACCCCTCCTCCTGTGTCCAGGTGTTTCGTAACCTGGTCATAAAAAGAGACTAGATTGGTCAGGCACGATCTGCCTGCTACGATCCCGTGCTGGTTTCCCCTCAGCATAATTTGTCCTGCCGGGCTCTCGCAAATGTGAGCCTTGATAATTTTTTCAAAGACTTTGCCAAGGATGGAGGTGAGACTGACTGGCCTATAGTTGCCTGGGTCCTCCTTCCTCCCCTTCTTGATGCATGATGCAGCGTGCCAAGTAGCCACCCCCCCCAGCCCACCATAATAAGTCACTGCTGTCACAGTGCCACTAGGAGATGAGTCCATGCTGACTGCAGTGGGGGCTCGGCCTGGGGCAGCTGTGCCTGAATTTCCTGGTGTGGCACAGTGGCAGCAGCTCATTGCAGCAGGCAGGTGTGCAGGATGGCTACTTGGCACGTTGCATTGTACCCCATCCTGTGTAGGCCCATCTGCTGGCAGCCACAGTGCCAGGACTACGCAGTGTCAACAGGAAACCAGGCGGGGTGGGGAATGGATGTGGGGAGGGTGGAGGAGTCTGCACTACCCAGCCTGGTCCTGGCTGCAGCTGAGTGGAGCTGCATGGGGCACAGCCCTCCCTCCTCAGGCTCCCAGCAGCAGCCAGTGGGCTGGATACAATCGATTGGCATCTCCTTACCTTCCCCTCTTTACCTTTCCCCCAGACCTCAACAGTTCCCCAAAACTCATTAAGTGGCCCTCCAGCCTAAAGAATTACCCACCCCTGGACTATGGTAACACTTACAAGCAGTGAATCACCAACAGAATGCAGTGTTTTGTCAAAAGTCCTTGTTTGTTCATATTCAGATTATTCAAACTAGGATACAAGGTTGTATTCACCCTAGAATTGTTGCTGTTGTCTCTGTGGTATATAAAGTACAGATTGCAAAAAGGGCACTTGTACAATGTTTTGGTAGCATATCGTGCATCATGAGGAAAGGCTAATAGAAATGGACAAAGACAGTTTGTAGCCTTAGAATTAGGTCTGCAAAAGGACATGGGCATTGCAGTGCTGAGTAGTGCAGCATCTTGCCATCTAGTGGAATTCATGGCCCTGAATTAAGCAACTATATCTAGAGCCACAAAAAGTTAGGTGCCTAAGTGTTGTTTAACTGCCACTCTAAGTTCCCAAGTGCAGAACACTGATCCTCAGAGCCTTGCTCCATTTCTGCTTAACCCTGGTGGTTCCTAGGCACCTAAGTTCTTGCTAGTAAAGTTCACTAGACACCTAAAGATCTGCTTTTATGCATGCCCAGAACTTCTAATCTTCACAGTGCTGAGCAGATTGGTGCCTAACTCACACCTAAGTGTAAGTCAGGAACCAAAAACTAGGCATTTTGCCGCTGCTCTACAGGGCCTGTTAGCATTTGCAGGGGACTCCTACCAGACCAGGCTGTGCACACCTCATGAGAAAAGGTGTGCAAAATGCATTTTTGTGTTCATTTTTTTTTCTTGTTGGTTGCTTCTAGGAAAATTCATCCCTGCGCTATCTCAATCTAATGTTTAATGAGATTGGTACCAGTGGAGCAGAGCTGATAGCCAAGGCACTACATGTAAGTACTCTGTGAAGGCAGCAGCTTTGCAACAGCATCTGGCTTGGTATTGTATTTTCTGCTAGACAATACTAAGGGCATGTCTATGGTACTTCACTGGGAGAAGCCTGGGATTGTTGTTGAGAAGCATGTCCTGTTCACTTCAGGTCTGCACATACCAAATCCCTGAAGTGAGGGTACATCACTGCTTTGGAGAGGCTAATGAAGCAGGCTGTTGCCTACAGAAGCTTATGCCTCTCTGAATCAGTTATTCTTTAAGGTGCCACACTGCCCTACTTTCTGCCTGATTTCAGACTACCATGGCTTACCACCTCTCCATTCTGAGTGATTACAGGGGCACTGAGGAATGAAAAAACCCCAAACTATTGTGCTCTGTAAATAGGCTTGATCTTGCTGATGCTGAAGTGGCCAAGGAAGTCGACAAGAAGTTTTTTTTTTTCACGGGACCTGGGATCAGACTTAATTTGGCATCAAAGATCCCCATCCTGCAAAGATTTTAACTATCTGCAAATGAGTAATCCTATGGGCCTGTGTCTAATCATGTCATAAAGGGTCTATGAGTGAACTGTAGATTCTAGTTTTCTCAATTAAAAAATGTTAAATGTTGGCAAAAATGTGTGAAATAACAGATGCTGTGAGAGATAAGGATCAGTTAATTGACTTAAATCAGTTCTGGAACAGTTTGCCTCTGGACTGCTGCTTGACAAATATCAGTTTATTACTGACCAGTTAACTAATTGATTCCCTAACATCCTTCATCAGGTAATCAGGAGACCATCCATGGACAACCCAGTGGATTTTGTTAGGGGAGTACCGATAATTCTGCACTTAGAGTAAAAAGTACATGGCATTAAAGTTCTTAT